CTGAATTGTTTCATCCTCTATTTGTCCTCCAGACCACAGAAAACTTTTTGGTGTCTGCAGCTCTAGTTTCTTGTTAACAAAGCTACAAAAGGAAGATGTGTGCTGGCAGACTTTGATGTGTTTGTCATGTGTGTGCTCCATACAAATAGGAATCTAAATTGTGCTTTTTGGTATGCAGGCTACCTGCATATCCGTGAAGCATACATACCCATTTTTTATCTGTCAGTAGCTACATGACAAGAGGTCAGCCCCTCAAGATCAAATATTTTTCTTACTAAATGACGGATTTATTAGACAAATAAGTTGTTCGTCTGACTCTGAACCCTCTGTGATTGAAATATACCCCTGTGTCAACAGCATCGCCTCTCAAACCGGGTCCCGGGCGGTGGAGGGCTGCCACAGCGGATTACTGAGCAAATATAAGTGGGAAATGAGTGCAGATCTGGGGGATCTACCCATCCACATCCCCGGTTTGACATTTCCGTCCAAAGGCCAACCTTCCTGCGCATTGTTAGATCAACTGAGCCCTCGATGGGAGCTCTTATTTTTTGTTTTAAGATACTGCAGAAGTAGAACAATGTCAAAAACAAGGACAAGAACGCAAATTCACAAAAAAAAAACTGAATCAACGCAGTTTATTTGCGCTCTCCGTTTCTTTTTACTTTATCTTGTAGTGTTGTAATTATAATGATCTAATCCATCTTAACCTGGGCTCCTAACAGCTGCGATTAGGGTAGGCCCACTCCCCTCCGCTCAGAGCTATAGTAAAAAGTCGTGCGCTCGTAAATCTAAGCGCCTGCCTTACCATAACGTGTGGTGAAATCATTATTTGGCGACGTGGTGTCAGAGACTCTCTCATCTCGTCTGTCAGGAATCCAATTTCCTTTTATTTACATCCACGGTATAGATTAATTACTCCCCCGACTAGTAGCCTGAAGGAATTAAGTTATGAGATCCTTTGGTAGGCTCCATGATTAATCCATCGCGGCCTATGCAAGGATACAAAGGCAGAAGGAGGAGAGGACGTGATTAATGCTGTCGAGATTGGATAACAAACATTGTTACATAATAATAATAATAATAATAATAATAATAACATAACAATTTACTGTAAAAATAATTATCTACATCTATTGTTCTTATGTGATCAATTTGCAATTTAGGTCGTTGTCATTGCTATGTTAAGGCTCAAACTAGGCAAAAAAAAAGCATCATGGGATGGGACAAGAGGAAGTTGGGAGGGTGTGAGGCGAGGAAGGATGGGTGGGTACCTAAATTATCTCGACATGAATATGGTGGGGGGGGGGGCTTTCAGGCCCAGGCTAAAACGACACCTATACGAACAGGCGATGCTGCGGCCCACTATTGATAGAGCTTTAAGGGTTATGATATCGGTGAAGTTACTGATGAAATATCCCCCCTGATTAATAGAGGACTCTGTCGTAACGGGCTGACATATGGTAGGCGAGGCAGCTGGGGACGGTACCTCAGGCATCCCCTACAGCCATTAACATATTAGAGGCTATTGTGCAGGCAGACAGTCCGACTTCATCCAGAGCCCTTGTGCAGGGAGACAGCACCCCAGAGCTGTTTGATATAGGCTTTCAATAATGCATTACTCTTCAATCCGCCAGCGGAGCTGTTCGTGGTGCTGAAATTATTGCCATGTGGCGCTTGTGGTGCCGCGCGTGGAGTGTGCGCAGCTGCCGCTGGTTTGTTTGTTTGCCTCTTTGCCTTTTACTGGGGTAGGAAGCTTCGCCAAGGATGATGTTGTTCGCTTATGGACAGGCGAGCACTGTTGAAACTTCTTCCTCTATTAGACCCGTAGGCCAAAGGTACATCACAACGATAGATAGATAAGATAGATACTGCAATGATCCAGCTGCAGGATAAGAGTCTATAGGAGCCCTGTCTACAGACTTCCAGACATAGTTGAAATATATATTCCCAAAAACTTCGACTTTGTCCTTATATTTTTTGCACTATGAGTGACATATGTAGCGCTGGAACGGAGTTGATCTGTGCGATAATATAATAACAAAGAAGGGTGATGTGGCATCCGATAGATAGATAGATAGATATCAGCACATTCACATGCATAAATACACGTACACATACCTGCTGCATTAAATAATAAACACTCACTATTCTGAACAGATGCTGTGCTGCGTGTGTTCACGTCGAAAAGTCCGAATTTATTTGCGATGTGAATAAGCTAAATCCAGAAACCTGCAATTACACCAATCAAGCGTAAAAGTTTCTCTCTAACATTTTCTCCAGATCACTCTCAGGCGGTGCTGCGATGAAATGAAATAAGATAAAATGGCTAAATATTTAGCTTTTCTTTGAAGCAACATTTTAAAAAATGTCCCGTTTTTTCACACGTTCCTTCTAATAATCTTTACATCACAATCATAAACGTTTGGCATTATTTCTTATCAACTTTAAACAATAAAGCGAGGCAGTCCAGACAACACCACAAAGTGTTGCAATGACCTGCAACTTACCATGAAAAAATACTTTTGACAGACTGTCATTGTGAGTTAATGACGCCGCCTGTGTGGATCTATGTAACAAACACATACCGGTTGTTCCAACTGAAAAGGTTTTACTCACGTTAAGGAATCGCTCTCTCTTCTGGCCATGTAGCCAAAAGGCTAAAGAAAAGCAATAAGGAACAGCTTTCTCTGCTCTTTAACAGCTGCTTCCTCCATCCTCCTGTCTCCCTCCCTGAAACCCCCGATAGCTGTCTGAAAATATTGCATTTTATATGAGCAAATCGCGATTAATATTGCATTAGACCTACCTGCATTTAAAAATTCGTTTTTATAAATGCAGCGGAAAGTGAGCCCCCCCCCAAAAAAAAAAAAATATGGAAGTATAGAGTGAATCTAAATATTTGGAGGGAAGAGGTCACACAGTGGTCATTTGATATAAATAAACCAACTTTTTTTCTTCTTCTCTTGAATGTATATCTCTCTCTCCGCCTCTCTCTCCCTCTCTCTCTCTCTCTCGCTTTAATGTTGGTGTTCAGTTATTCTGACTCTGCTGTGAAAACTTCATTAAATGTTGATTGTTAGGTCTGTTTCAACACAGCAAAAGGCGGCAACATTAGTTACTGTAGAATACCAGACATTCAAATCAATATTTCACAGCCTGTTCTGTTGAAATGAAGAGTGCAAACATTCAAATATATGGGCAACTAAAAAAACATCATACCAATCACCTATAATTTTAGTTATTAGATCAATTAAGTTGTTCTGTTTTTTCTTTACATCCCTCTTTCCTTAAATTGTCTCTACTATTATTATTATTATTGTTATTATTATTGTTATTATTATTATTATTATTATTAGGCTACATATTAACATTTATTTTTAAATTGGCACAAACATATATTTAAAGTTTAAAACAATTTGTTTTAAATATCTGAGAAATATCTTTTTTATTTCTATTTTAAATCCTTAACTTTCATACGGTTTGCATCAAAGCTTCACGCTCCCAAATTAGATATTTGTGTTCAGTAAATTAGACAAACTTTGAAGACATCCAAGCATCATTTAGATTGATTAATATTTTATCTCAATGGTAAAAAAAGAAATCAAGAGAAAAAAAAGAAGACATTTTAAATCATATCAAAACTGGTTATTTAACAAAATGAAATAACGTCTCAATGTATATCGAATTGTGGCCACAAACACGTTATACCATTACATCAATATTCACATTAAAACCATAATAGTTATTTTCAGTGTAGGCCCAATCACAACCAGAAAAACATAGATTTCTTTCTTCAATTTATTAGAAGATTGCTGGAACACACCTCCCTGTTGAATTTGGCTTACAGGATGAATAGTACCAATGAAAGTAAGAGGACAACAGAGGAGAGTGGAGAAGTTGTGAGAGAGGGAAGGAGACAGTGGGACATTTTCCATGATGCACATGTCGCCGCAGTTTTGTAAACATACTTGTGCACAAAGTAAAATATTACTTACACAACGTTTCCGTAACAATTAACACGACAAACAACGTGGTGATCTTAATGTGAAAACAGGCATTTAACAGTGACTTACACCATCCACAAAATAAGGTCTATCAGTAGACAGCTCTACTGTACGCAGTGATTCTTTTTCCAATGCATAGAGTGTTTGCACTGCAAACTGAAACACATGAAAAGAAAACTTCGTTTTTTTTCTCCTTGATGAAGCAGACAAGGCTCTCGTATCTCTCTGGATCTGTTTGAAACTTTTCCTTGCGGTGCCAATGGTGTCGAAAGACCCTATAATTTATGTCCAAAACACAGGAGTTCAACTCTGATAAGTGACAAAGTGATGTCTGTATATACAAAACCATTTCGACATAACCGATCTATAAACCTAAAGGGTCTTTTGTGCAAATTCAAAATAAATATCTCTCTAGATGTGACAGCCTATAGAGGCTAAATTACTGCCCGTGAATTAGGATTCCATGCAGGCCTACTTTTTTTTCGTTAGCCATAAAAGTGTGCAACTAAATTTGAGTTTATAGCAGCCTCCAAATAAGAAATAAATGAAGAGATGAATAAATGAACAGATTCATGAATTATTCTATACCAACAACGACAAAAATCAAACCAAGAACACAGTTCAACAATCAATGAGGTAATTCGTAAATGGCTATACTTCAAATAATAGGCCTATTCGGAGAAAATAACTCGCTATAGTATCAAGCAAATTACCTCTTTCCACATGTTTTAAAAGGCAATGTCGACGTCGCTAAACTTTTCCCTCGAAACAACTGAGCGAAATTTGTGTAATCTGTTATTTGCATACTTCACATTCACCGATAACGTGAAAATAAACAAGATATATGAAGCCTCATAAAATGGGTATCTAAAGCCCATTGTGCACCAACGTGTAAAATCGCTGGAGACAAAAGACTGAAAATGGTGTCTTAGTGTCCCTTGGTCCCCAAATTCAGTCACACAACTTTTTTTTTTTTTCCCCTCCTCTCCTCGCCCATCAGTGAGTAGCGGAAAATTTCAACCTCTTCTGCTTCTGTCTTTGGTTACAAAACCACACTCGCACCACATTTTTTTTCAGGTCCAACTTTTCAGCTATAGCTGCTATTTTCTCGGACGACGGTCGAGGCTGTACGGCGAAGTAAGCCTCCAAAGACCTCTTTTCTGGGGCCGCTATCGAGGTCCTCTTGCGCTTCTTCTCCCCTCCGTTGAAAATGTCAGGTTTGCTCATTTTCTCCCTCTGGGCCCCCTCGGCCTCCTCCAGCCAGGCCTGAAGGATAGGTTTGAGCGCAATCATGTTGTTGTGGGAGAGAGTTAACGACTCGAATCGACAAATTGTACTTTGGCTCAGTGATCCCACGCCGGGGATTTTGAGATTAGCCAGAGCGCCGCCCACGTCCGCCTGGGTCACCCCCAGCTTGATCCTGCGCTGCTTGAAGCGCTCCGCGAAAGCCTCCAGCTCCCTTGGGTCTGTGTCCGAGTCATTGATGGAGGGGAGTCCGGTGTTAGTGAGCCCTGGGCCGCATTGGCTCCCCCCGTGGTGGCCCGGTAAGAGCCCATGGTGGGTGAGAGGCGAGTTCATGCTCATAGCCTGGTGGGAGAGGTGACCCAAGCCGTGCATGTGAGAGTGCGGGTGAGAGGAGGTGGAGATGAGCCCTCCGCCGCCACCTCCGCCGCCCCCGCCACCTCCTCCGCCGGTCCCGTCGTGCGCACTGGACATCAGGGCGAGGGGCGGCGAGCTGATGTGGTCCATAATGTCCGGGGGCTCCAGGTTCTGGTGGTGGTGGTGGTGATGGTGATGATGATGGTGGGCCAGTGGAACAGTGGATGTCGACGAGCATGGCACGGTGCTCATCGTGTGGTAGGTGGCGTCGGGCTTGAACGGGTGCGTCTTGCCCTGGGACACGGCGATATCCACGGCCGCCAAAGCCTCAGCCCGGGCCAGCAGGGTCTCATCCAGGCTCGCAAATATGTTACTCTGCAGCTGCAAGGGTGAAAATTAAAAAGTGGAGAGGAGGGGAGAATGAAGGGGTGCGAGATGGGTAAGAAAATGGAAAAAGAGACGGAGAATAAAGAGAAAGGGAGACGTTAGAAAAATGAACAAAAAAAAACCAACATAAATAAATGTATCTGTCAGTCGGGACTTCTGGCGACACATAACAGCCGGAGTATTCCTTCAGAAGTGGCAAGTCATAAAAATTAAAACAAAAACAGTAAAGCCAGGCTTTGCGTGAGCGTGCTTCCAAAAAATAAGACTCTTCGAGTGATTGCCGTGGAATACATGAAAAAAACATTAAGTGCGCGTCTTTGCTGAATGTGCCTTGGAGCACCCCTTGTTATTACGCACAGACAGCGTTCAGCGCTACATGCAGCCTAGGCACAAAAAAAGGACAAAGTCGAAGTTTTTGGGGGATAATTTACCTGTGGAGTTTGTAGACAGGCTCTCCTTATAGCTTCCGAGCTGGAATGCAGGGTGGTGTACTTGTGCTCGGGTAAAGAGGGATGCATGGCGAAGTGCGGCTGTTTGCTGTTCATGGACATCATCTTGGCGAGCTTCTCCAATTAAAGTGCACGGGAAAAAAAGGGGGGGAAACGGCTACAAGAGCTGGAAAATAGTCATAGATACACAGTGATCCTTTGCCTATCCAGTAATGGTGCAGTGTAGTTCGCTGTGTAGTGCGCCGAGTGCAGCCTTGAGCCCGGAGATCACAGAGATGCCTGCAGTCTCTCAGACGCACTTATCTGTCTACTGTTTCCCACTGCTGGGGATGAGAGAGGCTCTTACACCTGAGCGCCTCAGATCTCGTCAAGCCCGTGCTCGGCTGCTCTCGCGAGACATAAACTGCCAGAACAGTGAACAGGCTGACAGATAAAAACTGCTCACAGGGCAGGCAGTAACATCTGGAGACTAGACGCCTGCGTTTTTTAAGGGCTCACTCCAGTCCACCCAGCCACGGAGCAGCGCCGGTCCAAATGCCTGTAGGCCTTATTCTTTACTTAGAGGCCGTATCCCATTGACTTAACGCTATTTATATTAGCAGCCACATACTTTAGACTGGTCTTTATTCACCTGATGATGAAGAATGATGTTTAAATATCGAAATATACGGGGGGTGAAGTGTACAAAATATGAGTAAGCATTCAATATTACAATCTGTCATGCGTTTTTAATTGCAATATATAAAGTTTACAAGAATGCACAACAGGAAAGTAATATAAAACGGACGCATTAGTATGAAAACAATTCAATTTATATATATATTCAATTACTTCATTAGTGGTTCACACCAGTGCCACATATTTAAATATGCAGGTTACACGGTTTGTCCTGTATGTCTCTCATCTTAACCCTTAGAAGTAATGAGTCCGCCGCCTTATCATTAACGCCCATCATCGCCAGACGAGCACTAAACAAATTGATTTAATACACCAGCGTAACCTTGTACAGTCTTTACCTAAATTAATTAATCCCAATGAATTAACACTTCATTTATTCAAACCACAACGGTTAGCCAATTAAAATTTCATGCAGCGATTAGAGGTATGTGAAATATACATGATATCGTTAAATTTGCATAATAAATAAGGCGCGTTGTGCTACAATGGAATTACTGTGCGTGTGAGGTCTCTAATGTGGGTCGTTATAGGATACAACATGCTTTTATCGGCATGAATAGGCTAGGACTTTTCGACTTTTAATGGCAGCAAATTAACAATTGTTTATGTTTAATGTGACGTAAATCATCAGGTAAAGTAGCACGAAAGAGATGAACATGATCGAGTTAAAAATAATATAACTTTAAAGTGCCCACTAATTATAAATCCCCCAATTCCACCAGAAATCATAATATGGAGAATTAACAATAAAATACCAGGCCACTTTGGTGGCCCAATGAATCCTCTAGGCTGACCTGAATCATGTGATTAAGGCACTGCAAACCAAAAGCAAATGCAGAAAAACACAAAAGAAAACAAACTTTCATATATGATTTCTCATTGCATTACTACTTTATTTCCTATCACACTCTTACATTGCAAATTTGTTTTTTCAAAATACTATTTTTCATGATAATCATGTTCATCTATCTTTAATCAGTATCAGTATTGTGCCTCATCAAAGAAAGATTACTGTGAGGACCATGGTGACAAACACTGAAAGTATGTTTAAAAATGTCCGGGCACCAGAAGTGATGCACTACATTATAGCAAACAGCACAGAAGCCTTTGTCCGATTACACCACAGACTGTAATCTGACTTTATGAGCATTTAACTGCCACAGAGACCTACAAGTAGACTACACACACAAAAAACTATCTGACAAACCTGTCTTATTCTGTCTTAATTTAGACAATATCACAACAGACAAAATGACAATAACAGACAATAAGTTACACTCAGGAATCAAGCTCACAAATTTATTCTGAAGCAACATGGAGTTAAAGCCATGTGTGGCTGTGAGGCCTGACCGAAAACACACTACAGTGAGAACACACAGGTTCAGGTTTTAAAACCTTCACATGAGCTTCGAAAGTTTTGTGGGACTGCTTGTGTTAAAGGGACTGTGAGACTTTCTCTTTGTTGGCTGGCTGATGTTCAGTGCGTGTCTCTCTCTTGTTGTGTTCACAGGTTTACTAGTGCAGCTTGATGATGAGCAGGAGGAGGAAGGGCCTACACGGTCATTGTCTTGGCTCGCTGGACTGACAGAGCCGGAGGGACCAGCCTTATTCTCTTCCAGCGAATCAAACAGCAAATCAAAAGACAGCTCATCAGTCTGAGAGGACCCTCCAAGCTCTGCACAGTCAGGGTCATGGGCACTGCCCTCGCTACCTGACTCCAGTGAAGCAAAACTTTCTTCTGCAGACTCTTTTGGAGCCTCTTTGTCATTCAAGGTGCCATCCGTGTTTTTGCATGGCGGGTGGCTCTTCTGGTCACACTGTATCACAGGTTTGCCGCCGTGGCTGGACAAGACGTCGGGGCAGGTTTGTGGTTCCGAGACAAGAGTGTTGTCCAAGTCTGCGGCAGTGGAGGAAGCCAGGGACAGCTGTGATCCCCTGCTACTGGAACTCTCTCCATCCAGCATCATGGAGTCCAGCTCGGAGATTTTGTCAAGATAAGCGGCATCCATGGAGGCCTCGCTGGACATGTGGAAACTATCAGGCTTATCACCTATAAGATCAGCGGATGCGGCTCCGGCTCCTTCAACAGGGCTTTCTTTATTTGGACTTGGACATGATTGGTCATCAGATATAGATCTCTGCCAACCACCCCAGAAGGCAGACTTGGAGGGTTCAGCGTCAGTATTGGGGAGCGAGCTTTTGGGGAATTTGTCGAGGCTGTTGAATTGGTTCTCCATGGTGCTGCTACTCTTGCCAGGAGAAGGGAATTCTTCAAAATCAAGCCTCCTCAGATAAGACACGGGTTTAAATGCAACTTTCTTCTCTCGTATGCCAGGGCTTCTCAGAGTCAGGGACCTGAAGGCGGAGGACGGAGTGGTGGGCAAAAAGTCAGAGGAGGTGCTTTCCAAGTCCTCATTTTTCTGGTCTTCAGTCAGATTTTTGTTTAGCTGTTTGTGATCTGCAGATGGCATGAACATCAAACTGTGATCTCTTGAAAATGTTCGACATTCTGCCTCAGGATTGCTGCAGATCAACACCCTTTCATTGTCACTCAAGCTTCTCATCATCATGTTGATTTTCTGTTGCTGTGTGAAAGCTTCTGACCCAGCCTTGCCACTCCCACACGCTTCCTGCACATCAAGAGATTTCTTCTCAGGCTTACTGACTCGAGACTCCAGGTCTTCAATGTACTGGTCACTGCGCTCCAGAGCCCTCTTCAAGTGGTCCACATTACGCTCGTACTGCTGGATTTTAGCTTCCAGTGCTGCCACTGTGTAACGACCAAACCTGGGGACAGATCATTTTGTGTCTTTAAATTGTTCAGGGATCACGGTGACAGAAAAGCCAAATAAAATTTAGGTTTGGTGACAGTAGTTTTTATTTGTTACGCGCTTGACCAAGCAAATGCACTGTATTTCACAAGAAACTTAAAATAAAAAATAAATAACAATGGTCTTAACTTTGTATTTTTTGAATATCAATTTATATATTCTATAACTGGTGTTGATTTGACAGAGAAAGGGACAACTAAATTGTACAGGAACTACAAACCTTAGCCGCAGATCAGTGCCTCCAATTTCAGCCGTTTTAACTGGAAATACACTTAATTGAAACTGAAGTACCTCATTGACAGTGACTTAGAAGCACATGCCAAATATTTGTAAATTTTTGTTCCTTTCTAAATGAACGCCAGTCAAACAATCAAAAGCAGGTATGTGTCAGTAACAAGAAACACTTACTTCTGAGGAGATCTGCTCGCCACCTCTGCTTTCAATCTCATATTCTCTTGTACGAGGTCGACATTTTGAGATCGTAAAGCCTTATTTGCCTGAAGAAACACATTTGCAGCACGTTACGCATTATTCCACAGTGGTAGCAAATTAACTCAGTATTTATGTTTTACAGACAGAAGCATCAAGTAATCTTTAAATCAGTGGTTTTATTATTGAGAGACGGTAATTACACCCTCAAAATGTTAACCCTATTCCTTAATGTGATATGATGAATTAGAATGATAACTAAATGCCAATCACCCTTTTTCTTTTTGGGGGTTTCAGAATATAGCAAGACACTAATCTCTTATAAGTTCCACACACAGTGCTTTGTACTTTACTCTGTACTCTATAAAATGCCACTCAAGAAGACACAATATGCAATTAGTTAAATATTATGGTTGTATACCTCTTTAAGCTTGTCCATATCCTGCTTTACTTTATCACAAACATCTGTGGCAGCTCGCAGCTTGTTGGTCCATTCTTCCAGGACAAATGGGTCAACCTTTTTGTCATCCGTTTGCACTGTATTAATGCTGCAGGGATCCAAAGCGGTCTTCAGTTGTGACTCCAGACTTAGATTTTTTGTTTTCAGCTCCTCGTTTTCTCTGATGAGCCCGTCAATCTCCTCCTGTTACAGAGAAACAGTGTGAAGCTGAAAACAGGGTTTAACAATAACCACATTACTGTGTCAACATCAGACTTTTTTCTCCTTTTTAATAACCTGAAAGCTGGAGACTGTTGTAATCTGAAACAATGTATTGCTTTCACCGAATCTGACACATTCTGTTCAGGCATAAGTAAATTGGCAATTTAAAAACTTTGTCTGCTCCAATGCAATGACATCGGCCTATCGGCAAATTAAATGGCCAGTGTGTATCTGTTGTGTGGCATAAATTTTGCACTGGCTAAATCTTTTATTTACAACTCAGATATTTATAAATAATCACCTCCATTTTCACACAAATTGCACGCAAATACCTATGTGCTCCATGAACAAGCACAGCTGTTAAGGTCTGTGTCTCATGTCATGTAAGAAAAATAGACTGAGCTACAACAAGGTAAAGATCTTTGGATTTTTGTTTTGTTTCCCTGGCACAAAAGGGCAGATAAATAACAAAGAAACTTCTCGATTGGTTCAACCCTAGTTATTGAAAACATATGAAAACACATGGCACGATGAACCCGTACCTCATACTCGCGTAAGAGCAGCTCTCCTCTGGTTTTCCGGAGATATTTTCTCATGGACGGACTGTCACTGTGATCACTCTCATTTGTGCCTCCTGTAAATACACGAATACAGTGACAGGTAAACAGACTTGACAAACACATATTGAAGTAATGTTCCAAAGTCACTCAGCTTTGATGGGGGTTCAATAGTGCATTAGTTATATTACTATAGAGTTGCAAATGTTGAAAATATGAAAGGTTGTGGTGCTGCCTTTTAAATTGATTAAAAGTTATGTCACACTCTCAAGCCCATCAGCAGAGAATCTATTCCCTGTCCATGAAGCCTTTACTTAAGTGCTTAACAGTATTTTCCAATTTGGGAAATATGCTTGTTGGGTGTCTAACCTAGAGCTAGATTAGTGGATTTAATATCAGCTTTACCACTGTTCAACACAGAAATTGGTCCAAGGCCTGTTTAGTCTAACACAAAAACTAGCAGCAGAGAACCACTAGCCGAGTCCAAAATTAAAAATGTGCTTCCGATACCAATACATCCAAGAGTAACCTGGATTTTGTTTGTGCATATAGGAAAAGTGTGCAAGAGAACAAGAATTTATAAATCTTTTAACAAGAAATATTGTAGCAGATGACAAAGTATCTGGCTGAAGCCCAGTACCCACATAGCTTCATCCAGGCTAGCAAAAACCAGACGAAAGGAAGAATTTCCTATCATAAAACACTGCATGCAGGAACAAAAACTCAATGTATTTAAGGAAACATGCTTTCTAACACCGCTGCTCTTGTCTCTGCCATTTTAAATGACATATTTCTTCATGTCCCAACAGAGATGGCACATAGAAGTTGATTAGAACAACAAATTACACAGAAAAAAAAAAACTCTCTTATAGCAAAGGCATTTCCAAACAACACTTTGGCCCAGACATTGAATGAACCTGGCTGTCACTCCTCCCTGTTAAATGATCGATACCGTTTGGAAAAAGCAAGCTTCTTTCACTGGCATAAGATAAGTTCATCTGAAGTTTACCACACTCCAATGACACAGTCCACAATTTGGGAAATCATGGTTCAAACTGCTGTCAAATGGGTGCATACCAAACAGTTATAACTCACAAGCCAATATGAGAGTATGGTACTACCTAAACCTGACTGCAACAACGTGCTTTATTTGAAATGATGCCACGGTGACTCCCCTGTGAGAGATGCTGCAGGCAGATAAAGCCTCGCATTGCCTCTCCTCTCGCACTTCATGTCTCATTCTCTCGTTGCACTGGAGCTACTCACCGAGGATTTCTCTGCACGGGTTTTCTGCCGTGATGGCCACTCTGCAGGTGGGACACTGGCTGGCTTTCTTTAACCACATTTCCATGCAGGAGGAGCAGAACACGTGGTGGTTGCCACAAATGACCGGCTGCCTGACCTGCACGGAGAGAAACACCAGCACGTTGTTAGTTAACACTGGCAACACGGCACTTGAACGCCAGGAAACATATATTTTGATTAATACCAGCAGCTAGCGTCAGATACGTGAACTCTTATTGTTGCGTTAACGTTAACCTGGCAACGTAACGACGTTAGGGGTGCTAGGCAGCAGTAAACACGCCGTCTTTGTTCAACAGCCGACGGGCGTTTAAAGGGTTGGAAAACAGAACCGCAGTTACCTTTCCGAGACATATCTGACACGAAATCGGCAAAGTCAAAGAAAGGGTGGAGGTCTGATAGTTGAGAGCCATGCTTTGAGGGAACACACAGCGGCACACACACTCAAAAGTTCAAAACACACACTTCCTCAAATTTCCCACCAGGACCCGCTGCGTCGCCCGCCCAGCGCCTCCGAACTACGGAGAGCCAGAAAGACCTAAAAGGCGGTTCGTTCGCAAACGTTTTAAAACGGAAGCCAACCTTACAGTCTCAACTGTAACTAATGGCAGTGGTTCAGTTTAAGTAATACACTTAAATAATATATATAGTTATGTGTTTGTGCTTTACTTGAGTAGAGTTAATGACATTTTATGCTACTTATACTGCAATGATAAGCGAATGTTGTAGCCTACTTTTTTTTAAGGTTACATTAAAGGGGCAGCTATAGATACTAGCCTAGTTACGTTACAGATTCAGATTATTATAGATTATGGTGTATTATTATATGTTTATAAAGTACTTAAAATACACCCAGTCTTTACCAGTTGCAACATTCTTACAGTAATGTGTCAATAATTATAATCCAGTAGCTAATAAGGAAATTATGTGAATACTTCTCCCACCACTAATAGTTAATTAAGATAGCTAATTGTGTTTTCCAATTCAAACTCTTTAGCATGAACAAGGTAAAGTAAGCATATTGCACAGGCCCTCTCTTGTGTAAATAAACTGTAGAAAAAAATACCACCAATAATTGTGTGGTAGATAGATGCAAAAAAAAAATCATCCCTGCTCAGTGATTATGAACCTTTTGGGGTTAATTATTAGCTAAATATAGCCTATTTAAAGATCTAGCAACATGGAGCAACACTAGCATTCATTGGAAGTCACCTGATGTATGTAGATCCAATTATCACTGTCCTTTAAGCTCTGTTTTGGTCTCGACCAACTCCTGTTTAGTGCTGATTGACATACAACTTTAAAGCAACTGCTGCATCGATGAGAGGGGTGAAACTAACCCATACAGCACATTTACAGGCCACATAACCAAAACAGTGACCTAATGGTTCTGTTTATTTGTTTATTTAGACCTATTGGTAAGAGATTACTTAATAACTGTTGTCTAAACTCACATATTAATTGTTATTGAACAAAGGTGGGGACTTTACACTGAAAGTACATCATTACATCCATTTTCCAACACACAAACAACCATGCACATTGAGGACACAAACACACATTTTCCAGAGCAGAAGTCAGCTCATGGGAAAGACAGCTGTATTCCCCATAAAAGTCTATAAAGAAACCAGTCATCTAGAGGGCTGCTGAAATTGGGGTGTGATTTGCATTCCACAGATGATACTGGAAAACAAATGTTAAAAATGAAACTGGAAAAGATAGTCCTAAAAGAGTTTCCAATGGTTTAATGTGGTAAAAAATAGATACATATTACACTTGCAGATATACAGCAGTATACAGATGCTTTCTATTTGGGTTAAAATTATCTTGTAAACAAATATAGCTGTTCTTCGAGTAAACTCCTAAGTATTATTTACACAGTGAAGTTCTGGCAAAACTTCGGGACTTACTGGGGAGGTCTCACTTTGAAAACTAGGTTGCCATTAGGTCAATGTGCTCCCAATAACAACTAAGTAATGTCTTAACATATTTAGCTTTGATTTCTCATATGTATTGTTCTTGTTGTTTTCTTCAAATGATAAATCACAGCAAAACCTAAGGACCATATTCTTTATTGCAAAACAACAATTCCTAATTTAGAGGACACCAACAACATATTCATTAATTTAAAGTCTGCCTATAATGAAGATTGCAATGTAACATTTTGTAAGCTTTCATCTCAGGTAAATGATCTAATTTATAACGATACAGATTGTTTTAATATTAGCATAATTTCCACTACAAATATTTCAAATTACATCCACCACAGTTTAGCCCTCCATACCCATTACTCATATCTAAACCAACATGTCCTGCGCTTCATTGTATCTCAAACCAGGACATCTTCTTAGGATCTAATGTGATTAGAATTGACTGAAAAGCTTGTACACTGATCTCAGTTTAAAAACATCACCAGTACTTGTTTGGTTGTTTTCAACAGAATATTAAATGGATCACAGACCACCACTTATTCTCACTCATTTTTCATCGCATCACTGGTTTTATGAGAACATTTAGAGTAAAATTACAATAGGTTGAGCTAAATGTAAAATGGATTTTCATAACATTGTTTCATTTTATTTTTTATTATATGGTATAATGAGAGTTTATTTAAATGTATACAGACTTATACACAAGGTATATAAAAACCAGGAAATATTTTTAGTAACGGTTTCCAGTTGAACTAAAAAAAACTGTGTGGATTTGTTTGCAGTTTCATTCAAGCCCATATTCATCTCAACATTACAAATGACTTCAAAGAGCACCTGACATGCAAGATGCTGTCAGAAAGACCTTAGTGTGCCATAGTAAACCTCCACATTGTAACTGAAGTGGTTCATGAATTTGTTACAGAGAAACTAACTCTAGAATAACCAATAACAGACTGAAATGAAAGAAATACCCATTTTCCGACAAGTCCCACAGTCCCGCTAAGATTGCATTGCTTTGCAACAGGCCAGTCATTAATTGGTGACAGTCAATTAATCACAGCTGGTACAGACGGCTGCATCTATTGATCTTGTTTGAGCACTTATTTTTCATCCCTAAATGACACAGATCGCCAGGTTTGACCAGCATGTGTAATGGACAGTGAAGAACCAATGACCCGAGTGTCACTCTTACCACTGGTCGGGATCTGGATCCCCTCCCCCATCTCTGGCAAATAGCATCTTTACCATTTAGCTTGGAAAGGTTTAGACTGCCCTAAGAGCACAGCAGCGAAACAGTGCGCTCTGGTGCTCAGATGACCTTTTCTGTTTAAGGCTTAATCTCTGACAAATGCTTGCTTTAATTAGCCTGATACCCCCTGCCTTGACTGCCACCCCACCCAGCTCGCCTCTCTCTCTCTCTGTCTCCATCGCCCTATCTCTACTTTTCTCTGTCTTCCCCAATGTGCTTTTTTGGACATTCTTACCCATCAATGTGATAGGTAGCCAGAGGTGGGACAAAATGTGGGAAATCTGTGTGATGTATTGCTTTTAAGGGAACGATAAAGCAAATAAGTGTGTTCAAAGTATATGTAAATATAAGAAGAAGAAATTCACTGTTGTTATTAAAGTAACATCACTTTTTATTATCATGCCTAAGAAGTTCCTATATTATTAGAATTACAGCATATTACTAGTAGGTAGTCTAGTTTAAAGAAAGTGATGTTTGAAACAAAGTGTCAAATATTTACCTATTTTCTAAGATAATGCATAAATAATGAATATCCAATAGTGTATTTGAAACGAGACAAAAGAGAGAGAGCAAAACACTGAAACAGAAAGAAAGAGATCATGTGGGGGAGAGAGTATAAGAGTAAAAAGATTAGCCACTGCACATTAGGAGGTTTAAGATAACATGCAACGGCAACATCTATTGATTAGCCACTATCAGAGACAGTGTGTGAGGTTGTGTGCAAATTCAAGAAAATGGCAGAATGTATATTCCTCAAATGAGTGCATGAAACATAAGTAATTAAAACAAGTTATCATAACAGCTTTAATGGAGAAATTATGTAATATTTGAAAAGAAATATTTAAATATAAAAATGAAAAATTCTATAAAATGCTGACAAGAGAGATTTCCTCTCCAGTTTGAACATCAAGAAGTAAATTGGGCAAATGTTGCTGATCACTTTCCAACACTGCTGAAATTAAACCCGCTGAAAGCCTCAGCTTCATCCAGAGACTGCAGCAGATCATGCATCCCTCCCACTGCAGTAGCAAACACAAGTAAAATAGATGCATGGCTACAAATCCTTGTTTTATTGGAAAGGGGCCTAATTATTAGGATGTAAGTCAGGCTGTGACTGGAGGGCCGTCTCCTTGATGCGGGCCTGGTTTATATTTATCCCCTCCTCTGCAGCTACAGCAGCAGTGCCACCATCACTACCAGCAGTGTGTGGCGCTTTTATTACATCGCCCACAGGCAGGTTCAGCCCTGTCACAGTCACACACACATCCACACAGCCTGCAGGACCGGCAGCCAGTTGAGTCCCCTCCACAGCAGAGTTACCCCACATCCCCATGCAGCCCCACATGGGCCCTTGGGACAGTGGAGGGAGGGAGCGGGTATTATGGTAATACTATAGCCTGCTGCTCCCTTCCCCTCTCCTGCAGCACAGCTGGGAAGGACCATCATTACAAGTATTGTAGCAATCTGTTTAAGAGGGACACATTGGAGAGGTTGGGTGACAGAGAGAGGATGAGTGCTGCATACATAGATCACATAAAATATGATTAAAATGTGCGTGAGGGGACCAGGAATAAAATGCAAAACTTGTTATGAACACCTTATATCAAGTCCACTGTCAAAATGGCCAGCTGTAAATCTCTATTTTCACCTCTTTACTTTTTTATTTTATTAAAGGTTTCTTGTGTTGAGCTGGTCATATCTCAAGACAGGCGGCCTGTGGCACATAAGGAATAAATAGGACATAAAGTACTTGAATCTCTAATGCCTCATATAGCTTTACCAATCTATATTGTAGTGTGTCACAAGCTGGAAATCCATTACAAAGTGACCAAAATCAAATAGCCTTGCAATAGCGTAACTGCACTGCTCTTATGGTCAAATTACCCTCATTTCATGCAAAACTTCTCCAACCAATTATTTTTAAACACAAATGAAATCCAGGAGAAAAATGAAGTCTTTATGGTAATTGCTAAAACGCTGTAATGCTCAGTGAGAAACTCCCACAACACATGTCTCAATACTGCTTTAAATACCTGTTTTGCGATAGATTAATGATTATATATCAAGGAAGTCTGATCAGAATAAACAGCCTACTCCACTATTCTGGTAGCAGATTAGACTTTTGACAGAGCAGTCAATCACTCACTGTCAGATTAGACTGCTCAAAGCCATTCATCTACTTGTCTAGTTTTGGAGCAGTTTGGAGCTGTGATTCAGAGCCTTCCTCAGACTCCATCATTCTCACAGTATTTTTAGGAAACAGAGATATCCATTACATCCTTTTCCCCTCCCTGTGCCCTCCTTCTCATTCTATTTTCAGCTCAGTTTTGAACAGAAAGTTCG